TGACAGGATCAGCAGCTGCTGTTGGTGAAGCCATACAAAGAGCCAGAAAGTTCATGTAGGGAGAAGGTCAAGGTGATTGGGTGGGCAACAAAACACAAGTGTCACAGTTTGTCTTATAATTTGGATTTGCCCAAAATGCAGGACAGAGCTAGTGGGACATTGTGAAGAAAAACAGAGCTTTATTATAAACCAAAACAATGAACACTAGATGCTGAGGTAGGCATGGAAGAGTGTAACATAAAACATCACACGAGTAAGGAAAAGAGTGACCACAGGCTAAACAATAGATACACATGGGTAAGCTATGGCTCAGGCAATAAAAGTCGGAGCACAAAACTAAAAAAGGCTCTGCAGACAAGTAACGAAACAGTGTCCAGACCAAAAATACAAGTGGAGAGAGAGTGGGAGAGCTAAAACACCAAAGAACCAATATCTAAAAAGGCAATAAGGACACAATATCTCAGAGAGACAGTTAGGTAAGTATATACAGTATCTCTTTACATGGATATGTGATGTAAAAGTATGCTTTCAAATATAGGCAGAACTGGCAAACAGTTCATAACAGAAAGCAGGCAGATCACTAGACAAAAGGACCAGTTCATGGGCTTAAGAAGTGTAGGAATAAAGGTATTGACAAGAACGAGAGTCCATACAAGAATATGGAAAAACATAAAACTAGACTGCTGACCAGAAGCTGTGAGGGTGAAGATGACCACAGGCAGATAATGCAGTCCGGTAATGTACAGCGCACAGGGACAACCATAGAAACACAAATTCCAAACTGGTAGGCAGTTAGACTCAGCAGTTCTCCCATTTCAAACTGTCAACTAGTGAATTCTGGCATTTCACTTAATTTATTTATTAACTTTATTTTAACCTAAACTACAATCATTCCCTAAATCTGGCCACACTGTTGTTGTGCCAAAACCTAACTCAGTTGTTCTGTGTGTAAACCTGGTGTATTCTGTGTTTATTACTGTAACTATGATAATGAAGGCTCAGTGCATGATAGTGCATTATGACAACCTACTCAGCCAAGTAGATTGTGGAGTAGATTTTACTAACCCTTATCAATGGCCCAGGAACAACAGATAATGGCTATTGAATGGCATGATAATATCTGCCATAACCTAAGACTTGGTCAGATAACCTAGTTCATTCCAACTATACTGAAACCATAAGACCGCATAATTTTGCTTGAGAAAAACCAGAGATATATTTTAAAGTTTTCTTTGTCACAAGTGTCTTCTTTACCACAGCCACTACATTATCAGTTTTTGTGTCCCTTGTACTTTCTTGCAACTGCTATAGCTTCTCTGGAAAAATCTGTCAGCTAAGCACCAAAACTGTAAATGCAAATTGTCCTTAGTCAGTAGTGAATTAACATTACACTGAATAGATGTGTGTTATATTTAGCACATCTCTCCCTCATGGGAAAGACTGAGAATCATGGATTTTGTCCACATACACAGTAGCAGTGTTTCTTGTTTAGTATATTCTGCCAAGCACTGACACCATTTAGTTTAGATAGAACCGATAATACCCCTTAAAGAGCCTGTCACAGTGAGGCTGCTCTCTGCTACAGTGGGCCAAGCCAGAAACTACACAACACACACTCCTTCCACTGTACACATGCTGAACACACAGCACAGGAAACAAATGCAGCATTCTCTTCTCTCACCAAGTGTAATTTGGACCGAAACCCTCCCAATTTTCTGTCTGGGACAGCCTGTGGATGGGCTG